ACTTTCTCTCTTATTCCCTCTATCTTCGCCTTTATGCCCCTCTCCTACGCTCCTCTTTTCCCGCCTTCTGACTTATCTACCCTAACCTATCCTTTCTCCCTTTATTTCTTTTTCACCTTTCTTCCTTCACCCTTTATCTCGTTCACTTTTTCTCTTCTCCGGACGCCCTTCCACTCCTCCTGCACCTTTTCTCCACTTTTCTCTTCACTTCCTGCTCTCCTTCTCTCCAGAATCGGCCTATATTCAGCACTCACACAAGACACGTCTACTCTCGTCCAAGTCACAATATAACCCCAGTAAACAGATAAGTATTAGCTGCAAAGAAATCTATAGAAAAAAAACAATATTCAACAGGTATATTCCTTGACGTCTCACAGGCTTTTGATAAACTGTGGCATAAAGATAGAGAATAAATAAAAAAACATCAAAAAGACAGATAATAAAAGCAGGAGTACCGCAAGATAGCGTACTAGGACAAACATTGCACTTGTTATTCATCGTTGATCTGCCAAAATCTCTAAAAATCGTAAATCACACTCGGAAGTAAAAATAGCAATGGATACGATACAAAATTACATAAATAATTATCCACAAAACTAGCTAAACTCATGGAGATTTAAAGTAAATGAAAGTAAATCAACCCATCAATTAAACTCAACGACAAACACATATCACAAAGTGCTTGGGAATTCATTTAAACCAGAGGCTTACATGGAAAGAGCTTTTGGATAAAGTAAACAACTAGGACTGATATCGAGATAAAAATACTGGATCATTGGAAAAAAATCAGAGCTTGCAATAGAAAATAAAATACTACTTTACAAATTGTAACAGGCTGCCGTTTAGTCTATAATCACTTGAAAGTACCTTTATATTGACTAGACGACGCCTAGTTATCTATGTGCTCAAAGCACATCAACCTACCTTGCCTCAGAGTGCGCCTGCGCAGAGTCTCTTCACTATTCCGAGTTGGGTTCCCCCAACTCACCGCTTGGCGGCGTTGTCGCCCCTTACTAGTAGCGCTCGTGCGGCCGCCGCTGGAACCTAAGTTGTCGATTCCCGCCTACCGGTATTCGCGTGATTCGTGCTACGCTACCGGCGAATTCGAATCAACTGTAAACAAATATAGACGCGACCTCCGGACAAAGGAAAGACACAATAACGACTGCTTGACTTAATAAAGATTAATACTCACTTTATTTAACCGTTTCAATTACACGGGGGTTTTGCCGAGAGACTTGCGCACGCTTGCGCGGATGACAACACACGCTAAATGAGAGAGAGAGAAAACCGCGATTACCGCGAACTAACCACCCGCACGCAACAACTAATTACCTCGCGCACGCTGCGCGGGACCGCTCGCTATAACAATAATAAAAAGGGGGAAGGTGCACATACCGCGAGAACGATGAGGATACGGTGGCCAACCGTATCCGAATAACAAATCGCTGAAACGCCGCTTCGCTGCTCGCCGCACCGCCGCGATTACTGTTGCTGCTGTTGTTGTTGCTGCTGTCGCTGCTACTCCTGTTGTTGCTGTCGCTGCTGCTGCTGCTATAGCTGCTGCTGCTGCTATGCACCCAACGCACCACACCAAAGTTCGCGCTATCACCAGGAAAACTTCGAAACGGCTCGGGAAAACAGGTTAACGACACAGGCGGACTGAGTGACACAGTCATACTGCCGGTCGGAGCCTCCCCTCCCGGTCATTGCCCCTACGCGCTCTCTCTTTCTCGCGAACCGAACGCGGCTCCTCTCGTTTAGCCGCTCATTAACCTCGCGCGAGTCTAACGATTTTCGGTAATCGTTGCAAAATCCATAATTAAACCAATCTGGACTTATAGAATTCAAATATATGGTACTACTTCAAACTCATATGAAATCCTAGGAAGATTCCAATCTACAGTATTAATAAATATCGTATGTGTCCCATGATTTGTACCAAATGACATCATCAAGAATGATCTACAGATACTATCAGCAAAAAAAAAGAAATCAAAACGTTTTATTTTAAATACAATACCAGATTGAAAAGCCACACAAACTAATTAATATACAATGAAACCAAAATGAATAAAATATAATACACATATAAGTTAAAATAAAAACATAATACTCACTGCAGTATTGTTTTATACTTTGTTAATTTCTGTAATAGGAAACACATTTACTTATTGTCTCATTTCATAGATATATTGTAAATAAAATTGGAGTTAATAAGAAAAAAAACTTTGATTTTTTTGCTTTTTTTCTTTTGTTATTTTTTCCAATGTCTTTACTTTTTCTTTAACTAAAAATAATATACTTTGAAGAGAACGAACTGTTACTAAACATTGAAAGAAAACATTTTCATTTTTGTTGCTTTTAAAAACGGAAGAAATTGGTTTATTACGAGTAGGCACACTCAAACAAACAGCTTGCATATTTGTAACGCTAGTATTACAGTTATGCGAGTGCGCTACATCAATATCGTTAGCAAGATAGTTAATTTCTAAATCTTTTCTCTTCAAAGTTAAAAAACAAGTGTTTATCAGAAGGGTATGTAGCATGATTTATCTGTTTTTTAACTTCAAAAAAGTCATCGTTATTGCCTACTATTCACTCCAGTTCTACGTCCATCTCCAGTGGCTCTGAAACATGCTGAAATTATTGCAAATTTTACTAAAACTATTGAAAATTTTGTAGAATGTAAAAGCAGTAACAGAAATTCATTTTCGTTATCATGTTGATGAAGAAGCGGAAGTGAAAGCGTGTTGCAGTTATTCTCAGTTATCGTGTTACCATGTAGTGCTAGCTTCCTAGTATCGATTGTATTGCGACCATTATCGCAAAAATGACATTCGGAGCTTTCGTACTTCACTAGTGGTTTTCACAATAAGCTACTGAAATAAATGTTTCCTGTAGCAATGTAATTTCATAATTAAAGATTTTGGACTTAAAAGATTAATTACTGTGACGGAGAACTTTAAGGGTTTCATATATAATATATACAGGGTGTCAATTAAGTCCCGGGACGCCTGAATATTTTCTGAAGTACTTCAGTTCTGAAAAAGGTCAAGGTCATTCCTTTAGTAACTTTCAACGCGGAATCCGATGGTGACCTTGGATTTGACCTTAAGATTGACCTTCAAGGTTAATTCAAGGTCAACTTTGTTTTTTTAAATGGGAACCCCTATTTTTGACAACGGCAATCGAAAGAGCGGAAAATTTTACGTCCAAAACGGTATTTTAAAATTTTTTTTCATGGCCTTGAGAAGGTCGATTTAAGGTCAAATGCTTGAAAAACTGCCTAAAAGCGTTTTTTTAATTTTTAAGATATCGAAAAATGACCTCTACAAAATGTGTTCAGAACAGAGTAGGCCACCCAATGCACCAAAAACCTTTGATCTTTAACCTTATTTTGAAGGTCATTTCAAGGTCGAAGTGTTTTTTGTAATGGAAACCTCTCTTTTTGACCCCGGATACGCACATAGCGCGAAATCCGACGTTTGGATAAGGTATTGTGTTGAGTTTCGCGCTATGTGCGAATCCGGGGTCAAAAAGAGGGGTTTCCATTACAAAAAACACTTCGACATTGAAATGACCTTCAAAATGAGGTTAAAGGTCAAAGGTTTTTGGTGCATTGGGTGGCCTACTCTGTTCTGAACAAATTTTGTAGAGGTCATTTTTCGATATCTTAAAAATTAAAAAAACGCTTTTAGGCAGTTTTTCAAACATTTGACCTTAAATCGGCCTTCTCAATGCCATGAAAAAAAATTTAAAAATACCGTTTTGGACGTAAAATTTCCCGCTCTTTCCGAATCCGGGGTCAAAAATGGGGGTTCCTATTTGAAAAAACAAAGTTGACCTTGAAATAACCTTGAAGGTCAATCTCAAGGTCAAATCCAAGGTCACCATCGGATTTCGCGTTGAAAGTTACTAAAGGAATGACCTTGACCTTTTTCAGAACTGAAGTACTTCAGAAAATATTCAGGCGTCCCGGGACTTAATTGACACCCTGTATACACTAATCAGCAGGCGTAGCAACTTTATAAGTTAACGCATGCGCAAGACGATTTTTTAAATTACTTGCGATACGAATTACATTATTTAAATTTTTTTATAAAAATAATGTACTTTTCAAATATATTATAACGAGGTATATTTTTTTTAATAGTGAGCAATTTATTATGATCTTAGGATTGAACAAATATTGATATTTCAGCAAGATATTATCGTTTAAATTCCAACAAAAAAAACACTTTCATATTTTTTTGTTGGAAAATATAACGCGAGAAAATTATTTGGCCAACATAGGTGAGACGAGCAAATTCTACTCTATTAAAAATTATTTATTTTTTTATTTTGAATATTTTCCAGAACCAGAACTGATCTGTGATATGATCTGGTAGAACATAGTTCGCGGAAGCAAAATGCGAACGAACCTATAATTTCATCATTACACTATTTATGATGGAAATATCGAACATTTATTTTTGACGTTTTTCTTAAAGATAATATAAAAATAATTATATCAATCGAAGAAAAAATTAAGAATATTCGATTAGCATAAGCAAAACTTTATTAATTTATTAACTTAGTTCTTCGTAAAGATAGCAAATTATTTGACAGTGCCCATAGCACCTGTTATTTTATTTAATTTTTCGACAACGAAATAGACAAAAAATTATTTGCAGCGATTTTCGTAAACAGCATAAAAATATCTAGGAGTTAGTATATTTATTAAAAATATTTTTTACAAATAATTGTCAAGTAAACGAAACTATTCTAACTTCCCATTAGTGGTTTATCAATTTTGAACATATTCATTTTTTTTTGTACAATTACAATAAAAGTGAATGTTTAATACATTTTATTTACGAATAATTTATCGTTTTAGAAAACAAAATTTTTTAAATTCGCTGAGAACAAATGATTATTTTTTCAATAAACTCATAACTATATTTTTTCACAGTGAATAAAGGCATACACACTGCACAAGCACCGAAAATGTTAAGATAAGATTATCGTCGTTCGTTATTTGAAAAAAATGATATTAGTCCAGTATTGTCATTCGAAAAATCATTAACCTATTAAATAATTTTTTACTTTTTGTAAATATTAGACTAACGTTTTAATGCATATTAATAATAAAAATTCATTATTTATTTTTATCAAAAGACAGACATGACATCAAATTACTATTTTGTGATAATTGGTCAAACAGATAACCCATTGTTTGAAATTGAATTCACCAGTTCCAGTAAAGAATTAAAAGTATGCATTATTGTTTGTTTATGAGTTATTACTATATTATTAGTTTTATATATTCAATTAAGTAAAAAAAGTAATCAAATCGCAAAGAACAATGATTGTTTTTTATTAATGTTTTTTATACATCATTGAAAAAATTGTCTATTATTTTCTTTATATATAAATATCTTATAATAGTAAGCGTGTGTCTAGATATCGTTATTTGAATGTAATAAAAATTTTATTAATTTGTAATATTGATATTTTAAATTACAGAAAGATGATCATTCACATTTGAGTCAATTCATAACACATGCTGCTTTGGATTTGATTGATGAACATGAATGGAAAACAACAAATATGTTCTTGAAAGTTGTAGATAAATTTAATCAGTGGTTTGTCAGTGCTTTTGTGACTGCAACCCATATTCGTTTTATTATTGTTCATGATGGCAAAAATGATGATGGAATTAGAAATTTTTTCAATGAAATTTATGAGATATACATTAAGGTATGAAGCATTATATTATCTAAAATTACTTCAAAAATTCATACATGATAATTAATGTTTTAGTACTCAATGAATCCTTTTTACAAGTTCAATACCCCTATCAAATCTGTTGGTTTTGAAAAAAAGGCTCAATACTATGGAAGAAAATACTTAATACCATGATGATTTTTACTACAAAATTAGAAGTAATATATATGTACCAATGAAATAATTATTTTACTTTTTATTTTTCATTTGAATAATTATAATATAATTCCATTAGATACAACTTTATACTTAATTATTGTGGCCAAATATATGAAGGAAAGAAATAAAAATATTATAAAATATTTATTGTGAATATTTAATTTTAGTTGAAGTGTATTTAAGAATATATTTAAAAAATAGGTATTTTTTTAACAAATATTCTATACCAATAAAATCCTGTTATAGCGGATAAGCTATACCAAGTAATAATATAACTTAGGTGTTCATTTCGTAGATTCATTCTTGTTTGAGTTCCAATAGGCATTCCAGGCTTAAAATCGAGTTCTACCATATCCAAATACACTGGATCCGTCGAAGCAAATTCTGCCATTTCATATATATCCCTTTAAAATAAAAAATGTTTACTATTATTTCATTCAAGATTTCTTAATCTTGGAAAACTTTTATTGAATGAGCAAAAATTTACAATTTAAATTTTACCTGTAATGCCAAATCTCTTTTTCTGGTTCATTTTTTGGTACAAATTGTGGTCTTTTTTCATTCAATCTGTTGATGCCAATTATTTTCATTTTACCTTTTACTTGGCATTTTAATCTCTCATTTGGGTACTTATATTTTTTTGGTAACCATCCTCTATTCACAAGAATAGTTAAACTGAAAATAATATACAATGTCTATCATAAAGTAAAATGAACAAGTAATTTTTCCAAAAATGGCCGATATTTATTTTTTACAAATATTTGCAGTAATGCTTCAATTAAACTAATAAGAAAATGGGGCTACCTTATTAGTAAACCCATTCAAATAAACCTCACCCCTACAAAGTTAGTTGAATTGTTTCAAAGATATGTCGAAAAATGCATTAATAAAATAATGTTCAAATGTGGAACCTTCCTCTTTTTAGAAATCTGCAAAATTGATAAATCTCCACTGGAAAATAATATACAAATTTTGTACAGAATATCTTTAAAATTTGTAGAAGAATATATACAAAATCTCTATAAATCTTGTTTAATATTCATACAATATTTGTACACAATTTTTTGGTACAAATCTTGTACAAGTTATGCATAAATTTTATACAAAATTTGCACGAAATTTATACAAATTTTATACTTAATCAACTTTTTTTTAAATTGAATAAATTAATAATTCACGCATATTATAGACAAAATAACGTGGGCAGCTTCTATAGAAGATGAAGTATATACAACAGATGAAAAAAAATTTTAATCTATTTTACACATGAACTGAAAATTGTTCAATCATTCAATAATATTTAATGAACTTTACGTTTGCTGATAATAGCGACGAATTATCAATATATACAGTGCTCGATATGTACTTTTGCTCACCCTGAAGCGAAATTTGCTAAACTTTAAAGTTTTAGATTTCAGCGAAAAAGAGTCGTAGAATAAAAAACTTGACGCCATTTTAAAGGTAATAGCAAAAGCTTTAAGTAACTTGAAGATAATATTGTTTGTTCTAGGATTAAGTTTGTTATGCTTAAAAAATGAACATAAAAAATTTCTTTTTTTTTGGCCATATACACATTTATTTGCTACGCAAATCAGCGGATTATTAAGGGGGTATCCCTCAATAGATCGCAGAAAATCGACGGAAACTTTGGGAATTTTTTAAAAGAAAACTATTCAATATTTTTTCATGAAATTTAGACTGTGTTTTATTGAAATTTTAACAAATTAGAAAAAATTAAAGAAATATCGAAATTAAAGAAATATTATAGAAATAAAAATTTAGAGAAATATCGTAATAAACAAATGTGCAGTACTCGTTCAAAGTTATAAACTTTTTCTTTTTTTTCCTTTTTGGCGGTTCAAATCCTGGCTTTCCAATCACTCTGAAACATACAGAAAACATTTCTTTAGTTTCATTAGACATATTTCTCGTCGATCAACCTAAATTTATTGCTCGGAAAAATTATTTAACAAAATGGCGGACTTTTTAAAAAAAATTATATATTTTTTTTATTGTTCATGCAAAAAAGCGGTTAACAAACAATATTTGACAGAATTTTATAGGTACATCGACGAGATTATTTAATTTCCGTTCAAATGGTATTTTTTTTTTTTTTAAGTTGAAAATTCGCTGAGTAAGAGCGCCCGCCAAATCGACAAATCGAAAAAAAATGATTCGGAGATAAACGCGTTTAAAGTTTGCGACAGGCGAAAACGGCATTTTTTTTCATACTCACATCGAATAAAATTGGTTTTCACTCAATCAGCAATACCAGCACCATAAAGGATACCTTCTTCTTCATCATACTGTTGATTTGACTTCGCAGCTTTTAGTTTTTTAGCAGTCCTAGCTGCTTTTGTGGATTCTTGGCTGCGGATTTCTTGACGCTTCACGTGCTCATCGTCAGCGCTCTTTGCGTATTGGTTGGATTCTTGGCTGCGGATAGCCCGATCTTGAACTGCAGTGATTTCATAATTCTTAGTACACCATAGAATCCGTCATTGAAGAGTACAGCAGCTGTATGAGCGGCAATTTCAACAGTTTAAATAAATTTATCCCCTTCATACCTATGCCTAGCAGTCTCATAACAAAGACTATTCGTCGATTCACTTCGTAACCGTTATTTATATACGGGCTTGTATCGATAGCCGTTGTGCCACACCTGCACGTGAGTACTAATTTCCATCCAAAGCCTGTTTGCCGCATTTGTTCTTCAAACTCCACATGCCCCTTACACTTTTGGCAGCAGAGAGTTTGTGAAAGTGTAAGAAACAGCGTCATAAACTCTATTATGCGATATCTATGACTAGCGTTTACCGGAACATCTTCAAGAGACGCCGATGCCAATTTTCTTGCACTTGCACTGATGCCTACTTGCTCGCCTTCTTCAGTTGAGAATTGATTACCGCGGAAAGATCTTCGTCTCTTTGCGGCACGATAGCCTTCTTCTTTTTTGCCCTTAGGATAACTAGTACTCATTTTCAAATTGTGAAAACTAGAAACACGATGCTCACTACCCAAAAGCCGAAATAAAACTGAGCAAACTGTAGTAACGGTCTCCCAAACGAATCCCTACCTTTCCCCAGAAATCTTTGTACCTACTATGCTACACCTAGCCTGAAACTGTAAACGAACGTACAGTTTATACAAAGGAAGATCGAGAAACATCTAATCCATTGTATATTATAAGTAGGAAGCGAACTGCAGTGCACCGCTCAGCGGGGCGCCTTGCCGCTCGAGCGCGCAGCTGCCTACCTGTTCTGCGCGCCAGAGTTTCTATACGAAAATAGCTATAGCGGCTCAACCGCTCTGAATTTCGGTCCAATATTTTAACAGCACATTCTTGAAATGATGTACTTTCGATCTATGCAAAAAAAAAAGACTTTTTTCATCGATCTATTGAGGGATACCCCCTTAAAAATCTAAGCAAATTTAAGAGGTAGAATGTTCCTCTTTAAAGTAAGAATGACAGAACTCATTTTTAATTTTTTTATACAGAGATATAGTTTTTTTTTATAAAAAAATATGATTTTTTCTCATTAGCTCATCATATCTCGATTGCTGTGCATTAAATAAAAAAACTTTAAAGACAAAAGTTGTTTCTCTTTTGGTAAAGAATACAAAAATAAAGTGAAAACTAAGATCTGGAATAAGTTTTTTTTTTTTCATTTTTTCACGTTAGCCATTTATGTTATAAAAAATTATATTTTCGTTACTTTGAAAGTATTATATTATCTTTGTAAAATTTTGATTTGTTACAAAAAAATTTCAATTATATTTACGTAATAATAATATTATAATAAATAATAATTATGTATTACTTTATAAAAGTGTCTAGAAATTATTTATTTCTATTTATTTATTTATTTCATTCAGCGATTGACCACTGTAGTGTACAGACGTGCAAATACAGCGCTCTAGCCGAAAATCGAAAGTATAAACCGATCTAAGTGAGGTGACAGTGAATTTACAAAAATTGATTGTAATCAAGAAGTTAAGGAATGTAATTAACAAAGTTCACAAAAGAAACGGCAGAAATGGCCACTCAGTCGGGAGATATTACTCCCAGTAAAAACACCAAGGACTGGAAAATAGCAAGCGTCAAAAGAAAAAGAGTTAGCCCTGACAATCAAACCCACGACAGGGAAAGACAATCAAAATTACCTGAGTATTGGCTAAGTAACACGAAAAACAGGTACGAGCTTCTACAGGAAAATAATGAAAAAGGAAATGAAGAAGAAAACGGAGTAAGTAAAGATTTAAATACACCTAAAGTCAAATCACCTCCGATCTTCGTATATAATGTAGAGGATATTCGCCCGCTAGAAAAACTGCTAAATGAGATAGCAAAAGACAGCTATACCTTAAAGATAACCGGGCAAAACAAAATAAAAATACAACCGTTAATTACTGAAAAATACTTGCCAATTGTTAGCGCTTTGAAAAAAAAACACACGCAGTTTTACACGTATCAACGCAAAGAAGAAAAAGGATTCAGAGTAATTTTAAGAAGTATACACCCTTCAGTAGACATAAAAGAACTGAAAGAGGCTATAGAGGAACACGGTCATAAAGTGATGAACATCAGCAACATTCGACATCGTACCACAAAAATACAGTTACCATTATTTTCGGTGGAAATAGAACACGATTACAAAAGTCAAGAAATTTATAAAATAAACAGGCTATTAAATACAGTAATCAAATTCGAACCACCGAACGTTAAGAGAGAAATACTGCAATGTCATAACTGTCAAGAGTTCGGACACACAAAAAACTACTGTTTTAAGAGCGCAGTATGTGTTAAATGTGCTAAACATCACTTAACCAAAGATTGCCCAATAAAAGAAAAAATCAAAGAAATAGTTGTGCAAATTGCCTAGGAAATCACACTGCTAGCTATAAAGGATGCCCTACACGAAAACAATTACAGCAAAAATTATATCCTAGACTCCGAGAAAAAATATTACATCAAAATCAAAACAATACTCAAATTCAGTTAAATTCAAATTTAAATCTCGACAACAATAGTATCAGACCAAACACATCATATGCTCAAGCTGTTTCAAAATTAAAACATAACGATCAGAGAGAGACAGACATACCAAAACAAATAGATGTACAAACAGACTCAAATAATTACTCACAAGACCAAACAAATAACAAACTTGTACGCATGATGGAACATCTAACGCAAAAAATGGACAAAATGGTAAACTTACTAACAATACTAGTAAATAATATGGCAAAACAATGGAATATCTAAAAATTGTAATCTGGAACGCAAACGGTCTTATGCAAAGGCATCAGGAATTACGAGCATTTCTAACGTACGAAAACATTGATATCATGCTGATTTCAGAGACTCACTTCACAAGCAAAAATTTTCTACACATACCAAAATATTCAGTATACAAAACAAATCATCCACACGACAAAGCACATGGAGGTACCGCAATCATCATCAAAACAAGAATAAACCATTACGTCAATGTACACTTTAGTGAAATAAATATACAAGCAACTAGTGTAACCATCAACGACAACAACGGTCCTATAACTGTAACAGCTGTTTACTGCCCCCCAAATAAAGCAATAACAAAAGAAAACTGGACGTACTTTTTCCACTCATTAGGAAATCGCTTCATAGCAGGAGGCGACTGCAATGCCAAACA